ACATTTTTCCATGCCATTGTACAAGAGCGGAGAAAATTTGGACCAATCGGATGGAATATACCATATGAATTTAACGAATCCGATTATTACATTTCTATTCAACAACTTCAAGTGCATAGCCGTTTAGGAATATATCTTATGAATTATTAATCAAATTATTTTTAGATGTATATTAATGAATTCGACGAAATACCATTCGAGGCCGTGACATACTTAACGGGAGAATGTAATTACGGTGGTAGAATAACTGACGATTGGGACAGGCGTACAATCAATACGATTTTGAATAAATTTTGCTGTCCGCAAGTAGTCGAAAACCCGTACTATTTGTTTTGTGACGTCGATCAGAAGTATGGAATCCCGTTCCGTGCCCACTACCATGATTTTATTAAACAAATAGAAGTAGGAAAAACAATTATAAAAATAAATTGTTTGTCGGTAAACACGGGTCATGAATAAAAAATTCAACATTTTTTTAAATAGGAAATTCCAGTCGTCCACAGTCCAGAAGTGTTTGGGTTGCACACAAACTCGGGAATCATCCGCGATTTGCAGGCCACGACGTTACTGTTCAAATCATTCGTATCAGTAATGGAATACAGTGGCGGAACAGATGACTCTGATACGACGGAAAAGGCACTGATAGCGACCGTGTCCGATATACTTACGATGCTTCCGAATAATTACGACGTAGAAGCAGCAACGACGAAATACCCCGTTATGTACGCAGAATCCATGAATGCGGTCCTTATTCAAGAAATGGAACGTTTTAACGTACTATTGTCTGTGATTCGTAAAAGCTTACAAGACCTGATAAAAGCTATCAAAGGCGCTATTGTTATGACGCCAGAACTGGAAACCATGGCCCTATCGCTATCCACGGCCAAATTCCCAGTATTTTGGTCGAAGTTTTCTTATCCAAGTCTTAAGTCCTTGGGAGGCTATATAACTAATTTTATTGAACGACTTAATTTCTTGCAAGTAAGCCGTGTTATGCGTGTAGCTTAAATGCTTATAACAATATTATAGTAGGGAAAAGATAACGGTTTAAAACAAATGACAATTCATTTGTAGAAGTTACTTTTTAAAAATTTGACTAGACTGTTGAAAAAAAAAAACAAGAAATATAAGATAACTATTTAAACAATTTTATTTAATTACCACGCATAATGTGTCATCTGTCCACGAGTATTATTACCTATATAATGTATTAAAAAAATGTTATAGTTTCGACCCACAATTTTACAAAATAATATGTTAAAATGTACTATAATAAACTTCTTGATTTTAATAAGTTTTGGACAAAATAATCTCTATAATGTTTCATAAGATTAATAGACTTAATAGATTTTTATGAATCAATATTTAATAACTCATTTAAAAAAATATTTTGTGTTTGTTTGAATTTTAATCTATGTAGTTACTAAAATATTTTGGTTTTGAGAAATGAAAATACATAAACGTAACAATTAACAAGATAGGTACATACTATACGCTTATTATTTTTGAACAACATACACAAATAAAAATTAATTATAAGTAATTTGGATTAAATATCTAATAATAAACCAAGTATTGTTATTTACTGAAAAGTAAAAGAGACAAGTTAGAAAAAATCAATCTGTGAGCGTGCGGTAAATTCCTGGTTTCTAAACGTATATTTAGTAACGTATCTAAACGTACTTTTTTAATACAACCTAATAAACTATAATTATTCCATATTATACAATTTAAAAATAATTATTTGGTAACTTTCTATTTTGGTACCTATTTTAGATTCTGAAAGAAACAATGTATTGATTTTACAACGATGTGTGTTCTGTCAACAACATTTTGGGAAGTAAAATTTTTTCGATTTTCTATACTTATCAGCATCTTTTCTGAAAGAAAAGTGAATCTAGTTGGTACTTTTTTTTCAAAACCGATTAAATATTTTTAGTGTAACCCAAAAATTAATAACCGTAGACCCTTGAAATTTTTATATTATATGTATTTTCCATAAATTGTAACATTTTCGAAATATTTTGACTCTTTTTGAGATAGTTATAACCTTGAGAAAAATCTCGTTTAAATCTTTTTTCACTCAATAAAATAGCTTGAAAATGTAATGCTATGTTCGTTGTAAATTTCATTAAATGGAGTTCAAAAACATTAAAGATGCATAGATTTTTATATGCATTTAAAGTTCAAATTTTGACAAAATTCATCAAAATGTCGAACATTTTCAAACTATATTTCAGTTAGAAATTCATATAAGTTTTTCCTTTCATTGATAAGATTTAAAATGTTTATTGAAGATTTCCCATACATACCTTACCCATACCTTAAACAAACAAAAAAAGTCTTCCGGTAAGTAACATTTTTTATGAGCGGTTAGAATAAAAATTTTTTTGCGCTTACGGATTTTCATCTATAAACTAACGAATTTTAATATTTTGTTGTAATTCTAAAACTAAACCATGGATATTTGACATTTTTACTTAATGTTAAAATTACTATTTTCTATACATGGCAATATTTTCAAACAACTTTGATTCTTTTTGAGCTATTTATAGCCAAAAGAAATTGTTAAAATGTTGTAAATTATATTTCAGTTAAAAATGCATAAAAGTTTTTCTTTTCATAGATAAGATTAAAAATTTTAATAGATGATTTCAAATAAGTTTTCGTACGTATATCAAAAGACAAGTTTACTTAAGCGGAACATTAATTTTTTATGAGCTTCTGAACTTATAATTTTTACGATATTTGATATTCAGCGGTAAATTATCGAATTCCAACTAACCGATTTTTGATGTTTTTTTGTAATTCCAAAACGAATAACCGTAGACTTTTGAAATATTTACCAAATATTTATATTAGTATTTTCCATACCTGGTAAAATATCCAAACCGTTTTGCCTCTTTTTGAGCTATCGATAGTTATGATAATTTTCACAAATGTTGTAAATTATTTTTCAGTTAGAAAGTATTTCTTTTCATATGTATTTTTTTTTGCACATATTATGTTTATTGTAAAGACCATTACTGATTGTAAATAATCCAATAAATGTTAAAAAAAAAAAAACTATAACATTTGATTATTTATACAAATATGCTAGCCGCTAGGCTGACACAACGTGTCCGCTCATAATTGTTTTTCGTATACAATGATTTATCATTGAATTCCAATATAACACATCCATTACAATGACATGCTCGACAACTATTGTATAGCAGAACTTTACCTACCCACTTGTGGAACTTTTTGTAATTTAAAAAGTAAAAATTCTATAGGAATAGTCGAAAAAACCTTTTAGTCCACCTTTTAGATTTTGAGCGGAGCGATGAATGTGTTTTTGTTTTTTGTTGTCTCGTTTGTATTGAAAAGTATCGCATGTTAAATAACTTTGACTTCTCAAACTTATGTTTTGATTAATAATTATAATTGTATTTGAATTATTATGTATTAAATATCTACGTAATACCTATACACAAATAATCAAAATTAAAATAGAGCCTATAAAATTAATCTAGATTAAAATAATCAAATTAATACAGTTTTCTTGTCGGCAGTAAAGCATGTGGATGTTTAAATTTAAAACAATTTGTTGAAAACGATATTTGTTATATTATTTTGGTGGTAGAATATATAAGTATATGGACAACGGAAGAAACGACAAAAAGCAAGCTCTTAGACGTTTACAAAACATTAACTTTCTCCGGACGGCTTTGCACTGCGCAGTATTGTTCTAAAATAAATACATGATACATAAATTGTAGCTGACGGATAAGTAAAATATTTTTAGATTAAAATTAAACGTTTGGAATAGGTACCTATACAATGAGAGAGTTTAATATTATCTTTTTATTAGTTAAATGCAACTTGCCGGATACTTTTATTACCCTTTTATATTCCTGTCGTTAGTTTGGGTTAAAACAGAGGTTTTTCGTGTGTGAATTAAATTCAGTGATATACCTACTTATATAAATACAATATTACATACATACATACATACATACATACATAAACATATTTACTCATTGTTATAAACAATTTATGCTACACATCGTCATTTTCCTACATTGTCTTATATTGTCCAAGTATATTACTTACTCGTCGACACACTGAAATAGAAAAATATTTGTTGTTATTGTTTAGTTGATTTAATATGTTTTTAAAATTATTTTAGGTTTGGTACGACGAAGGTATACCCGATAATGTCTGGCTCAGTGGACTATTTTTTACTCAAGCATTTCTTACCGCGGTGATGCAAAACTTTGCTCGACGTTATACTATACCTATAGACCAATTGTGCTTTGATTTTCATGTACAACACTCTGATAAAGTCAACAAACCTCCTGTGGACGGTGTGTATTGTTACGGTCTTTTTATAGATGGAGCTCGTTGGGATATGTCTAAGTACGTTATTTTTTAATCAACTATGTAGCTTGACGTAGGACGATTGGTCCATTGAATTACAGACGTATTAAAAGATTAAGTAACTTAAGATATTATTAAATAATTGATATAATAGATGATATAATATATATTGATAGGTAATATTTAAATGTAATTTTTAGGATGGTACTGGAGGAACAATTGCCGAAAGTATTAACGGATGTTTTACCGTTAGTATGGTTCTTACCTACAAGAAAATATGAGTTGATCAAAGGTAATAGATATACATGCCCAGTGTATAATACATCAGAGAGAAAAGGAGTTTTATCTACAACGGGACATTCTTCTAATTATGTTTTATCGATGTTTCTCGATACAAATCGAAAACCCTCTCATTGGATTTACCGTGGAGTAGCTCTGCTATGTCAACTGAATGATTAAAATTGGCTCTCTTACAATCAAAATAATGAATATTTACACTGTAGGTACCCATGTTATATATTTTATGAATTTAGTATTTGTAATTTCAGCATTAAGAAAAAAAAAAAAAACAGTATGATTATTATCATTGTTTTTTTAATATAAAATAAATACATTTTTTACAAAAAAAAAAATCATCATTAAAGCTTGTCAGAAGTGATCAATGGATTTCCATTGATTTTTGCTTGTTCTTCGCGTTCTATATTTTTAGCCTCGTCAATTATCCACGGATATATAATGTACACAAACTTTTCTGGATCTCCAAGTCTTGATGGTACGAGCCTCGCTACACTTTCTTTAGTTAGAGTCTGTTTCTCGATTTCCGGTTTAAGTAATTTTATAATTTTTTTTAACAAAACATGTATTTGTTCTTCATTTACCTTTTTTTTAAGTGCGTTTTGAGGATACATGTGATTGTACCAGAGTTCTGAATCTTCAATCGATTGTGGAGTGTTTGGTGTTTCCGTCATATACCGATCTTCTTTGTATGTTGCTTTTCTAAATTTTGAATCACCGGAAACTATATCAAGAGGTATTTTTCTCTGAACAGAGTTATATTGATTTATCGGTGACACTGTTGGTTTCAATGTACTTCTTTTTGTTCCTTTTGTTGTGGTCGGGAAGTAAGTATTAATATTACCGTATTTGTATGTATTTGATTTTTCAGTTGAAGTTGGTATATTTTGGCTTTGGTAATTATTTGAATACATAGTTATATCAGATGGTAAATTATTTTGGACAGTTTTTACGGGTGTATCTGTGTTTAAAACGTTATGTGAAGGAATAAAAATTGACGGCCTTGAAGATGAAATAGTTGATTCATCATCATGTCTAGGAGTGTTTGTGTTCTGTTTAATGTTTTTCATATACTTATTGGAATTATATGTGATCTGTGGACTTTTCTCAGTTTTAGTTTCTACTAATATTGTAGTTGTGATATTTTTAATATTCAGTGGTTGTCGAGTTGTGGGCAATAATGAAGTATAGCGTAAACTCGTTGATTGGATTTTATTGTTTTTATCGGTAGTACATTTTACATCTGGTAATTTGGTTGAAGAATAATATTTAGGTTGTGGCGGTGACGATGTGAATATCATAGAAGAAGATGTTTTTGTATACGGCAATGTGGACGTTTCTGAAGTAGTAACAGATATTACAAATGGACGTGTTGACGAACTAATTACATTATTAATGTTATCCTGCCCATTACTGACTGAAGTCAATTTCTTATCAGATTTATCATATGTCTTTTGAACTTTAATGTTATATGATTTGGGTTTTATATCTGTTTCGGCTCTAGCCACAGAGGAGGATGTTGATATTTTGGTATCATTATTTTCACACAATGGAGTTGAAAATATTGTAGTTGTAGTTGTTGTTGAAAGTGTTGATAATGCATTTAAAACTTCGGGGTTTCGTGTTGTTTCGGCCATTTCCGTTGATATTTTATTGTTGTTAATTATTGATGTTTTTGAAACACCAGTCGTTGAATACTTGTCGTTCGAATAGTGATTAGAATTTAGTGGTGGTTCATCCGGTTGGCTCCTTTTTTCAGAGTTACCCTCCTGATTTTTTTCACTGGTGGTCGTTGATGAATATGGTGTAACTGGTGTAGTGGAACGATGTAATAACAGTTGCTTTACTGTGCTAAATTCGTCTGAGCTCAATGGAAGCTGTGAGACCGAATTACTGTATATTTCAGATTTACGTGGTTCATTCGATATAGTCAACGGTGGAAGAGTAGAAACTAGATATGTTTTTGGAAAATTAACTGCATCTAATGGCATAGTTGTGTCAAAATCAGCAAAAAAAGTTGATGGTTGAAGGTCTCGAACTTCGTGAGATCCAGTCGTTTGATTTTGTTCTGCAGTTAATGTGTTTGGAAGATCATCCGCAGTAAGATGGTCATGTAATTTTCTATCCATTTTTGAATTTGGTTGTTCAATTTTGTCGTCTTCTTTTTGATACATTTTTATCGGATCTTCCAGGTTAAGTCCTATCGGTGATGTGTGATCAAAATCGTCTTTATTTTGGTTTAATATTTGTTCAGAGGTATGTAATTCCTTGTCATGCTTCTGTATCAATTCTTGGTTACCCGGGGGAATGGAATTTGGGACAGTCATTGTTTTCTTAATATCAGGCTCATTATTTATTAGCGTTGGGCTCATAATTCCTGGAACGTTTGTATACCCAACTGGGAATTGGGTATGTAAAGGTCCCAAAAACCGATGGTGGTATTCATCTTTTTGATACGGTACTTGTCCGACGGGAAGTAAATGAGTTGTTGCATCATAGGGTAATGGAATATAACTCGAATAAATTGATGGCTGATAAAATGGGTTGACGAGGAATGGATAAATTGATAGAGTCGCGATATGGTCATCGTCTAGCATATTAATTTGAGAAGTACTCGTTCGACTTTTCTTTGCAATACGTTGTATGTTTGTTGATTTGGTGGGTGACTGGATATTTGTACTGTATCTTTCAATTAATTTTTCTATCCACGCCCGGAGAATCTTTTCTTCAAATTCTGAAAAATAATTTGTAAGCTTATTAAGTAATATACTAGATTATTGTTAATGAAATTATTACAAAAGCTAATAATATTATCAATAATAACAACATTAATAGTATACTATTGGCACAATATGAATCTTTAAGTATCTATATAGCTAATTTAAAATCTAACCTAAAATTGAATTTTTATCAAAATTAACATGAAAAAAAACGGGAAAGTGGATGTTGCTCTGCTATACAGTAGGTTACAAGTGAGTCACTGTAATGGATAGTATATTGGTATTAAATTTGAATTCAATGATATAATATCATTGTTTAAGAAAAACGATTCTGAGCGAAGACGGTTTGTCAGTAAAGAATATTTTATATTATATTTATATTACCATTACATATCATTAATACGGTAGACAGTAAGTTGAATTAATATTATAAAATTACAAAAAATAACTAAAATCTTTATTCTTGGTTATTAAATATGTAATTTTGTTCAAATTTTAACTTAAAATAACTATAAAAAACCTGTGTTCATGTATATTTTAGATTTGTTGGTTACATAATTAACTACTTACGAGCAATCTTGTTTTATATTTAGAATCCTTAGCTATGAAAGTTTAATATTTTATACATTATTAACAACATAATAATTGGTAATTTTTCAATTTGATAAATTATGTCAACATTTGAACTTTAAAAGTTTATAAAAAAAAATTTTGACAATATATTTTTAATAGTTTTAAACTGACATTGTATCAATTTCTGAGAAGCCCTTTATTACATTTTAAAGCATTTTTACCCAACGAATACAATTTTATTGATAATTATAGAAATAAAAACCAAAAAAATTGAAAATGTCCTTAAATAACTCTAAATGAGTCAAAATATTATCAAGTTTAGGAATTGATAAGATAAACATAATATGGTCTATATATAAAGTATCTTCTATCTACCGTTATTCTCTTTTGAATTACAACACAATAAGGAAATCGCTACATGAATGAGAAATCGAATGAATATTCAATGTTGTAAAACTTTTAATTTCAGAAGCTCATAATTATTTATTGTGACTTTCGGTTCGTTTTTTTTTTGACAAAAGTAGACAAACTTATAAGGAATCTGGTATCAAATTTTTAAATTCTAGATATTAAAATACCATTTTTTATGAATTCTAACTCTTAATAATTTACACATTTTCGTGATTTTGATGTATTTTGTCAAAATTCGAACTTGAAATGCTTATAAAAAAAATTGTGACCATGTATTTTCAATATTTTTTAGCTGCCAGTGTAAAAATATATTGGAAGCATTGTGTTAATTTTTCAAGCTTTTTTTAAACAACAATTACAATTATATTGAAATTTATAGGAGAAAAGCTAAACAATTTAATAACTGAAAATGTTCGTAAAGAGCACAAACCAAGTCAAAATTTTTTAAAATGTAATGTCTATAGAAAATGCTAATATAAATATTCGGTGAAAATTGTATGTATCTACGGTCATTTAATTTAGAGTTACATCAAAAACCAAAAACTATTTTGTCAAAAACCGATTTTGCCTAAAAATTCCTATTTTCGAGTGAACAGCATCTTTTCTGATAGCAAAGTATAAATCTAGTTGGTACTTTTGGGAGTTAAAAATTTAAAATTCTAAATAATTTTAGAAAGCGTCAAAAAAAACAAAAGAATTGGTAATTTATGTTAGGCAAAACCAATTTTTGAAAAAATCGATTTTATTCTTTTGATGTAACTCAATAACAAATAACTGCAGAACAATGAAATTTTCATAAAATATTTATATTAGCATTTTAAACTAATGGTAATAGTTTTGAAATATTTTGATTTTTTTTCAGCTAGTTATAGCTATGTGACATTTTTAGAAATGTATATATTTTTTATATTAATTCTCGATAAAAACTTTTTCACTTATCAAAAAAGCTTGGAAATTTAATACGTTTCATAAATGTAAGCTCAAAAATATTACAAAATATTTGCATTGGTCCGGACTCTATCAGACAATGTCGGGGGGCCAACTTCACGCACCCAAAAATATCAGAAATACATACTCATGATTATTTTTAGATGCATTTTAAGTTCAAATTTTGACAAAATTCATCAACATATTGAAAATTTTCAAATTATTTTTCAGTTAAAAATTCATAAATATTTTTCTTTTTATAGCTAACATTAGAAATTTTAATAGATGATTTCACCTAAGTTTTTGTACCTGTAACAAAAAAAAAGTTTTCTTAAGCTGAACACAAATTTCTTATGAGCTCATAATTTATACAATATTTGGTATTCAGCTGAAAATTATTGAATTCCAACTAACCGATTTTTGATGTTTCTTAGTATTTTCAAGACAAATAACCGTAGATTCTAGAAATATACACCAAATATTTATATTTGCATTTTTTATACCTGGTAAAATTTTCAAACTATTTTGACTGTTTTTGAGCTAAAGATAGCTATTATGATTTTTCAAATGTTGTAAATTATCGTATACCAAGTATGCTCAGCTGACACAACGTCATAATTGCTTCTCGTACCTATACAAAGATTTATCATTGAATTCAAATATAACATATCCATTACAACGACATGGTCGAAAACTACTCTATAGCAGAGCAGTACCCACTTGTTTAACTTTTTATAATCTAAAAAGTAAAAATATTTATTATTTCTGAATATTATTTAAAATAAACAAGATCAGATGAGGATAAAATAAATGAAATTCATCCAAATAGTTTATTTTTTTTAAGATGGTATGAAAAAATTAGGTAGTTGATAAACATCTAATTACTTTATTTATGTTTTTATTAATTTAATTTAATTTTTTTATAATTTAAATTTTCATGAACACATGTAGGTCAATTCCTAAAAATTGCAAGCTTTGCTAAATGTAGTTTGCCTACTTTCAACGACATCATTTAATTTAAAGCTTTTCGCCAAAACGTAGGACTGATGTAGTTAAGAGTATGGTTTGTTTATTTGGAGGGCGTTGTAACGTGGTCGGGAGAACGACCAGTTAAATATAAGATATCCAAGGAGAATCTTAGGATCCTATAGATATAAATACCGTAGCCAGGGGCAGATATGTACATATCAGGATCTTAAATATATTTAAAATACCAGGATTCCATTTCAGTTATAATTATATTTTATTGTCTACTAAACACTTACAAATAATAATACTATGTTCTATTATACTATGTGTCTGTACGGAGTCATTCGGAGTCCGGTAATCGTAGTGTGTATTGAGGTCTAAGGTGCACAGTGAACTAACTTACAAATACATTGTGTGTGTTGGTCATAGGCCTTACAATTATGTGTGTGTGTTGTAATATCAATGTATCGGTCAGCAGTTGATCGTACGTACGGTAGAGTCCGTATTATATACATAGGCGTCATGTAACATATTTATATTTATAATTGTTGCAGCATAATGTTGTACCGATTGGTACAGTTAGAATTCAATAATAGACATTTTTTGTAATACATTATTGAATTAATTGTAGTAGTTCCGTTAAAATTGTTTACTGAACCATAATGGAATATTGTACTCGTTAAATAATCCAAAAGCCCATGCAAATTGTGTCACTAAGATAAAAGGTATCAGATTTATCTTTTTATTTTAATATACGTCAATTTAAAAATGTTAATTAAATTATTTTCAACCCTTTTCGGTATAAAATGTTGTATATTTTTTTTTTTGCAAACGACGTTTTAAAAAAATGTGTAAAACTATATGTAAATAAAATTCTCTGAGGGGACCTGTAAAGATCCTTGCATATCCACTCATTATTATTAAATATAAAAAAGCATATTTTTAACCCTTTTAACAATGTTGATTACATATAAGACTCAGTAAAATGGTGTATTTACGAAGTTTTTTTTATTGTCAACTTTGTTGTACATTACTCTTAATCGAACCACGGTTGGTCTCAAGTCAACGACATAACTGTTTCCATATAAATTTCCCATGGGGGTTTAAGTTTTAGCTTTGACATTAGCGAATTGACGCATTTTTATTTGTATAATCAGAATTCTGAAAGACAACTATGTTCATACACGTGTGATGGTATATTGAAATATGTATGAGATAAAAACATTAAAAAGTAAAATATATTGTTGAAAAACTACTAAAGAAATCTACTTAAACATTGTTTGATTTTGGGTAAAAATTAGTACAAAATCTAACAATTTTTGGAATTTTTACAAGGAGAAAGATTTGAAATCAAGCTACTCAGAATATTGTAATTAAATATTTAGAAAATAAATCGAATGTAGAGTTTAGTTTGCTGTTTTTCGGTAAGGCGACCACGGCATGCAAATAGATGATATTTTCTGCTTATATTTTAAATTTTGCTTTTTGAAATATTTTTTGTAAGATATTCATTAAAAATGTTCTTACAGAAATTTGTATTGTTAAAAAGTTAAAAATCTTTTAAAACAGTTTGCTAATTTTTCTAAAATTTTATATTTTAAAATTGAATACTAAGTATTATAATACCACGATAAAAATTTTTTAATAATGTTTATTGCAATTTTTAAAATATTAAAATAGGTATTTATTTTTCTTAATTGTATACTAAACACTTCTAATACTTTCAGTTACCTATGTGAGTATTGGCGAATTGCAATTTCGGTATTTTGGTTATTTTATTTATTTTTGTCGAGTTTTTATCACAAGAAATGACAGATAAACTCGAAGCAACAAAATTAGACTTCTTATAAATTTCAGTATTTTAAAAATATTGTAGTACTTAGATGTTGTCAAATAAAAAAAATACAAAAATATCCGATATTTCATGTCTTTCAAATATCAAAGTCATACTTTAAGTTCCTAAGCGTATTATTAATTTTTAGTACGATAAGATGTATTATGTTTTATAATGGCACAGCTAATATTATTTATCATAGTTTTATACACATAATAAAGAGAGAACATTCTAATTTTATACATAATATGTATGGATTTACCATATTTACATATAAAATAATAATAGGAGTTACTTTTT